AAGGTGGTCACATCTGACGAGACATGGGTTTGGCACTATGAGCCTGAGTCTAAACGACAGTCCATGGAGTGGAAGCACGCAGGCTCTCCAGTGAAGAAGAAGTTCAAGTCCCAGCGGTCCACTAGGAGGGTGATGCTCACCGTTTTTTGGGATATGCAAGGCCCAATCACCATTTCATTCCTTGAAAAAGGAAGCACTGTGAACAGTGCCAACTACTGTGAACTGCTGAGGCAGGTCAAGAAAGACATGAAGAACAAACGCAGAGGTCATCAGTCAAAAGGAGTCATCTTGCATCATGACAACGCAAGGCCTCACACAGCAGCCTTAACGGTGCAGACCATCAACGAGCTCGGCTGGGAACTGCTCCCTCATCCCCCTTATAGCCCAGACCTTGCCCCTTCGGACTTTCACCTGTTTGGTCCCTTGAAAGCGTTCACGAGAGGCACGAAGTTTGAAAGTGACGATGAAGTCAAAAGTGTTGTGAGCGACTGGCTGAGACATCAGTCTAAAGATTTTTACGCTGAGGGAATAAGGAAGCTTGTGCATAGATGGGAAAAGTGTGTGACAGTGCTGGGAGACTACATAGAAAAATAAAAAAAGTAAGCTTCTATCTGTATTAGAAGTCCTTATACAAAAATATTCACCTTATTTATTGAATCACCCTATGTTTTACGCCGTATAACCCACATTATAATTTTAAATGAAAAAAATAAGCTCGACTATTTTTTGCGCACGATGTCCGCAAATAAATAGATAAATAAATATATATATAAATTTTTAACAATAAATTAAAAATTTATGTGCACACTGTTAGGTTCGCGTTTTTAAATTTCAATTTTTGTTTACGAAAGAGTTACACATCAAAGACACCATGAACAGCAGATCTTCCGACTTTCAACACACGATGAATCGCCGACGCTCACAAACGGAAGGTTGCGACGCCGCGCGAACGGCTTTTGAAAGATGCTGCGTAGGGTACTCCGGGCGCAACGGCTTCGAAGCCGTTCGAAGGGAAAAGGATTCGGGACGACGAAGTAGCGTCTTGCATCTTCAGTAAGCTAACAGTTCATGTTTCCCCGCTTAATTTAGTGGGGAAACATGGACAAAATTAGTTTCACTGCTAGATTTAGCGGGAAAATTGACGTCACGTGACGTACTTGCCAATTCAATTTCTCGCCAAATTTAGCGGGGCGGTTACACCGATGGTGACGCCGACACCGCTTATCTCGGAAACGGGTGCCTAGGAGCTGCGATCTAAAATTCATTATTTGATTAACTCACTTTCCGTTCGCACTTCCTTATGTTGTCACACGTCAAACATACCACCAAATTTCATTTGTCTTTCAATCTTCAAAATGCGCAATTGATTAATTGGTTCAAATATCTGGAATAACTTCACTTTAAGGATGTTAACAATAGTTATTAATCAGTTACATGAGACTCATACAATAATGATCAATCAAGTAGTGTCTTGGAGAGTGCATATGACGTTTTGCTTGCACGACCGAAACGGGCCCATATATGATCATCAGGGGATATATTTTTACCCATGCATGTCGTATATGGCAGTATTTGAACTTTGATACAGCAATATATGGCTGTATTTTCACGCGTATATGGCGATATATGGCCGTATTTACGCATGTATATGGCCCCATATACATGCGTATTTGCCCACTCATATGGCGATATCTGGCCGTATTTTCTCTCACATATGGTGGTATATTGAAATATCTGACTCCTTATATTATCCCATATGACCATATATGGCCGTATTTACGCATGTATATGGCCCCATATGGCAGTATTTGCCCACTCATATGGCGATATCTGGCCGTATTTTCTCTCACATATGGTGGTATATTGAAATATCTGACTCCTTATATTATCACATATGACCATATATGGCCGTATTTACGCATGTATATGGCCCCATATGGCAGTATTTGCCCACTCATATGGCGATATCTGGCCGTATTTTCTCTCACATATGGTGGTATATTGAAATATCTGACTCCTTATATTATCACATATGACCATATATGGCCGTATTTACGCATGTATATGGCCCCATATGGCAGTATTTGCCCACTCATATGGCGATATCTGGCCGTATTTTCTCTCACATATGGTGGTATATTGAAATATCTGACTCCTTATATTATCACATATGACCATATATGGCCGTATTTACGCATGTATATGGCCCCATATGGCAGTATTTGCCCACTCATATGGCAATATCTGGCCGTATTTTCTCTCACATATGGTGGTATATTGAAATATCTGACTCCTTATATTATCACATATGACCATATATGGCCGTATTTACGCATGTATATGGCCCCATATGGCAGTATTTGCCCACTCATATGGCGATATCTGGCCGTATTTTCTCTCACATATGGTGGTATATTGAAATATCTGACTCCTTATATTATCACATATGACCATATATGGCCGTATTTACGCATGTATATGGCCCCATATGGCAGTATTTGCCCACTCATATGGCGATATCTGGCCGTATTTTCTCTCACATATGGTGGTATATTGAAATATCTGACTCCTTATATTATCACATATGACCATATATGGCCGTATTTACGCATGTATATGGCCCCATATGGCAGTATTTGCCCACTCATATGGCGATATCTGGCCGTATTTTCTCTCACATATGGTGGTATATTGAAATATCTGACTCCTTATATTATCACATATGACCATATATGGCCGTATTTACGCATGTATATGGCCCCATATGGCAGTATTTGCCCACTCATATGGCGATATCTGGCCGTATTTTCTCTCACATATGGTGGTATATTGAAATATCTGACTCCTTATATTATCACATATGACCATATATGGCCGTATTTACGCATGTATATGGCCCCATATGGCAGTATTTGCCCACTCATATGGCGATATCTGGCCGTATTTTCTCTCACATATGGTGGTATATTGAAATATCTGACTCCTTATATTATCACATATGACCATATATAAAATATATCAGGGCCATATCTAACATTTTTGTACGGGATTGCGGACCTAAGGCGTTCTCAAACGGTCTCTAAAGTTTCTCGCACAAGACGTCCTAACCTTTGTGTCGAGATAGATAGATTAGATTGAACTAATTATTTTAAGAAAAAATTAAATCACTCAAAAGACTGCAGAAATGGGTCGAGCACGTTACACAGTTTCTTAAAATAGTAAATAAACTAATCAAGTGAAGGTTCATATTTCAGAAACTATTGAGAACGTCAAACACCTGTAGTTGTAATATTATTAAAACCTATAGGTGACGTCGACATGAGACAAAATGCAAGTTAAACGTTCGGTGCCTATCTTCTAACGAGTTCCCCCATATTATCCAACACAACTGTTTTCAGTGTAAAAGCCTGAGTTGTCGTAAGTGATTGGCCTTTGAGCCGTCGTGCTTTCTTAGACATCTACGTACTCACTGTGCTTCAGTGCTAACGCTGATTCCGGTGCCTCATCTTCACACGCACTCGGTACGCCAACGCTGAAAATAGTAAAAACGTGTTACAAAATTAACTGCAGAAGTTGTACACATAACACTGTAATGCGATCGGGTATTAAATATATCGGACTACACATTACGGAGTAAGGCAAGGAAACGCGTAAACACAAAGAAAAGGCATCTGGCAATGCGCAGAGGGGAGAGCGGAGCGGCGGGTTGAAGCAACCTAATGGCGGCCGCGTCACGTGGATTCAAGATGGCAGCGCCCATGCGACGGGAGGTGAAAAGGCCTCCGTTAAACCCTAAGCTAAGACTACGGTGGAAGGTACGTCCTCGCTTGATGAACCACGTGCCTCCCTTTCGCCACGTTATCACGCTCTCGCCCATACCCACGCGTCCCATGACCCATGGCCGGGTCAAGGCCTGACCAAACAGGATACTACAAAAATCGTGAGGCGATACGACTCTGACATAAATCACGCAACGCTCTGCTTCCCTCCGTTTTTTTTTTTTTAATTTTATTTTTTTGGTGGCGGGAAAGTTCCCTCCGTCAAAGGTCGACTGTGCCTTTCACAGGGGCCTTAAATATGCTCATCACGTGGGTCCGGACGGCCACTAAGAAGCTCTGTTGGCTGTTGGTAAATCGCCCAAAGCCTCCGCTGCTCTTCAGGTTCCGAAAACGGGAAAGGGAAGGACTGTGTTCGAAATCTTACCGCTGGACGCTGGACGCGGATAGGTTTTCGAACGCAAAAACAGAAAACCCTTACCCTGGAGTAAGACCGACTAAATTTTGGAACACGGCCAAGGATTTGAGGGTCCGGCAGAACAGAGGGACAGCATTGGCAGGTGGCGTGTGACGTCAAGTCTGACGAGCACCGAGGTCACCGAAAAGCGGAGGAAGCGAGGAGGAAAATCGGGATGTTTGCTTGGCCGGTATGCAAACAGACATAGGACTCCCGGAGACTTCAACTTCCACGAGTTTTGATAGAGTCGTGTCGCCTCACGATTTTTGTTGTATCCGGTTTGGACAAGCTTTTAGGCGGCGAAAAAGAGATGGCTGATTAGTCCGGTGGGGACGTAGCTCCCACCGCAGTCTCAGAAAAGGCTATACTCAGAACGGAGTATCGTCTTATTTGTTGAAGCTCCCGCAAACAAAAAGATATAGAAGCAAGACGTCTCTTCAGTTCGGCCAAATGTCAAGCGGAACAGTGAGAATTATGTTCACCTTCCATTGGCTATCCGACGTCTATACATTTCCATTAACACTGCAGTCACAGACAAGAAAGCAAAAGCCTTTTTTTAGTTAAGATAATTTTTGTAACTATTCTTTATTCCCCGATGACCCTTTGAACGCAATGCTCGGCATACACGATTATGTTGTGTGAGCGTTTGCTCCACTTGCTCCGGGCTGCGGTGCGCTAACACACTTGGCCACCGATTCCTCACAATCATCAATGGTAAATGAAAAAAAAAAAGAAAGCCGCGGGTTGCTTTACCGCTTTCCTTGCAGCAAGCCCTGTGTGGTCCGAGCCGGACGTCGTTCCTGACGAGCCGCAGGCCAGACAGCCTCCGCCTGTACTCCAACCATGGTCACTACTGGAGACGTGCAGTGGGCAACTTCACCTCGCTCCCTCAGTACTTCAAGGAGCACGGCTACCACACGGTCAGCGTGGGCAAGGTCTTCCATCCCGGTGGGCATGACCTCTCTGTCTGTTGTCCTTACCTAAACGCCGGAAACTTTCCGACCTCACCACTTTCTCAGCTTCACCTTTCGGACTCCATGGCCGGTCTGCTGATCAAGGCGGGTATCCCTAGATATCCCGCAACCAAAATTTTAAAAACCGGCAGGCGATTTTTTGTTGTTATTGTTTAGTGAGGTGACGTCACCGGTGACGTATTCCCTGGCCTCACAACAATCGGACGGGAACGGGACGGGGGCTGACGGAGGTCCTCACTTTTCGTGAACCCTACAAAAGGAAAAAAAGAGGCTGTTGCCTTCGTCCTTTTCTCGTCTTCGAAGAATAGCTATTCACTCACAATTCCCACAAAAGGGCCTTATTGCCCCCTCTCGCCCGTAGCCTTAACAGCGATGCCCAACCGGCAACGACCATTGCTGAATCTAGCGCAACAAACAATCTCCCTCGACTTCCCACCCCACCCACCGTTCCGGCCGCTCTGGTAATCCCGTCGTCTAAATAAGTCACTGTATTCGCTTTATTTAATGACTCCAGACCAAACTAAAGTCACTAGATTCTGGGAAAATAGCGCTAAACTCGTATGGTCACTCTTTTACTTTACGGAAGGTTCTTTTTTACCTCTTCATAATTCGTGAGCCTATCCAAAATCCAGGTTATAGGTTGCTTTATAAAGATTTTTTTTTGTATACAGAGATTTTGTATACAAAGATCTTGTCATCCATACACCGGCGAAACAACCGCACATCTTCACTACGACTTCCACATTCGGCGTCGGTGCTTGGAGGCATTGAAAAATAAAGTTTATGTCTTAAAATGTGCAGGAACAATATCATTATAAGAGATCAGTGGAAATAAACATACTTGACAAGTTGATTGGATACACAGTCCCAAAGACGCTTATATCGGCGAGGAACGCTCACAGAACAATTAAGTTCTATAGCGATATTGTCGCTACTGGTTCCGAACGACTTTTCAAAGCTGTAAAGACCTGAAAGGACCGAAGTGTCGATTGGCACGGCAAGAGACACCGATCAGCCCATCCCCTTGTGATGTTTCGGTTATGTGTATGTTAGTACCTGTTTGTGTCCGGCTAGCGGGCAGGGGAGGCAATGCCGCTACTTTCAGGTCCAAACTAGATCGCACGCTGTCCTCTTGTAACGATTATTAAAATCACAGAAAAAGTAAAAAAATGCACTAATTTAGTTACCTGTTGATCGATTGAGATATGATTGTACCGTGGGAATGACGCAAATATGGGTGAGAAACGCTTTTATGCCTTTACCATCTACGCTCAAATGGCCAGAAAGGGAGAACCGCTACTGGGTGCCTTGATGTGTGCGCGTCCCTCTACGTCTGTGTTAATGTCGACGTGCCAGATATATTATGACACCATTTTGGCCCATGTCCGCTGGTAATTTTATGGCGTTGGGCACTCTAAAAAATAGCGATACTGGTTAGAGTCCCATCAACAACGCGTGCCTTTGTTTTCTCTTTCAGGTTCTATGTCTGGCCACCACTACGACTATCCTTTCAGCTGGTCCGAGGAACCCTACCTCCCGCCTTCCAACAAATACGAAAACACAAAGGTAACAAACTTTACGTTCCTAAGCATGTAGCCATTAGCAGGTTCTGTGCTTTATAATGTACATGCTGTTTTTGTTTTAACTTTTGCGAAATATACATGAAGGAGCTCGCACTTCATTTTCTCTACAACCGTATGTACATATTTTTCCCCAATGAAGAGGAGGGTCATAGTCCTTATCGAATCACACAAAGTAGTAATTGACCTTTTTCGCACAAAGATGACACCAAGCCGCAAAAACTCGGAAGTGCGATTGGCGTCCGGGGAGGGGAGTTGCGCTACCCCTCCATGCCTCCTCCGTGACTTCTCCGAGTCGCGGAGGAGGCAGCAGGTGCCAACTATAGTTCGAGTTCTCGCCGTACGTGAGAGCCTAAGCTGCAGAAAACGGATGTAGAGGTCACGTGAATTAAGATCACTCGAAGTAAAAGTTTCTCGCCGAATTTGCGAGCGAGTGTTCCAAAATGCAACTTCGGCGCATTGGAACGGAAGGAGGAACACGCGAACACGCCAATCAAAGGGCAAGTTGGAGAAGGCGCAGGTAGTGCATGATGGCGAGGAAGCCAACCTCGCGCCGTCGTTGATTGAGGCCGGGGTGGAAACAGAAGCGCGTGGCCGCGTTTAGGGGGTAAACAAACGCGCGAGGTGCGCAAGGAGCAGACGAACTTGCACGCCGTATAGACCTAGAACGCCGAGCTGTGATTGGCTGATTGAGAGAGAAAAAAATTGGTTCATTGGAAAGGAGAAGAGGTTATCCCGCGAAGATTGGCAGGATGGCTACTTCACACTTAGGGGAGGGAAAGAGGGGAGGTATAGATTATAAAGAGACAGAGAGAAGAGAAAAGAAAAAAAAGAAAAAGGTATGTACACCTATATATAATACTTATATACATTCATCTATGCACATATATACAAGTATATACATATACACATGCATACACACACACCTATGTGCATATATATACATATATATATATACATACACACATACATATACATACATATGCATAAAAGAAAAGAAAATTCTGTCCGTTATTGTTTGTTCATGTAAAGGTATGTTCTGGATTTAGAGTATTCGGTCCAGTTTTGTTTTCTTAAGAAAGCGGATGAAGGAGGTCGTTGATTTGACCCTTTCCGATGCGGAGTCCCATGGTCCGAGCAGGTGAGTCAGGGAAAGTGGTTCTCCGTTTTGAAGATGGAGAGAGTTTGCCAGTTCATTTCGTTGACTTGTGTATAGGCTACACTGGCACAGGACATGTTCGAGTGTGTCTGTGACGGCACAATGCTCACAGAGAGGAGAGTCTAGCTGGCCGATGAGGTTGAGATAGAATCCCGTTGAAGCTACGTTGAGTCGTATTCGGTGGAGCGTAGTTTCAGTCCGGCGTTTAAGGCCGCGGGGTGAACGAAAGACAAGGAAAGGGTCAATGCTGTGCAGGTGTCTGTAATAATAAAGCGGATTTGCCCAGAGGGAACTTATCATAGTCTTAGCAACACAGTTGACTCTGGCCCTAGCATCTGTTCGTGAAAATGGGATTTTTAAACCAGATTTACGTCGGTGAGCATCCTTGGCAGCTAAATCAGCACTTTCATTGCCTTGGATACCGCAGTGGCTTGGAATCCATTGTAGTATCAGACTATGCCCATTTTCGATAGCCTCCTGGTGAAGTTTCAAAATTTGATGAACGAGCTGTGCATTGACGTTCTTGTTTTTAGTGGATTTGAGGCTCTGAAGAGCTGCCCTAGAATCGGTAAAAATTGACCAATCTCGTGAGTCACATGCAGAAATGAAGCGAAGTGCTTCTCTAATCGCTACTAATTCTGCAGCTGTTGATGATGTCGTGTGACCCAATTTTCCATAAAGTCTCTCATTGATTGATGGTATTACGAAGCTGTAAGTGGAGCTTTCGTCAGTGCAGGACCCGTCGGTATAGACATGTGTTCGCGAACGGTGATGAACACTAATTATTTCCAAAGAGTGTTGCCTCAATGCAGTTAACGGAATGTGTTTTTTGGAATATAGCCCTGGAATATTTGTCTTTATATTAATTATTGGATAGGCCCATGGGGGCGAAGAAGAGAACTCTGCTGGTTCGAAATCTCGTGGAGTGTCTAAGCTGCCAGAATTAATAACTTGAGCAAATCCAGAGGCACTTCTGCTATCTGATATATCTGCAAGATAGTGTTCTTTATGTCTGGTAAGATGGCGAAGGTGTGTTCGAAGGGTCTCTTGCAGTCTAAGGACCCCTATGGGAATAGCGCCTGCTTCAGCTACAGTTCCGACATTGGAAGTACATTTTGGGAGCCCTAGACAGGCGCGTAGGGCTTGAGCCTGCATACTCTCAAGCGCTCTTATATTTGTGCGGCACATCCCATGAAGTACGGGCAGACTGTATCGCATAATGCCGACAAAAAGAGCGTTATATAGTTGGATAAGTGAAGCTACAGATAGACCCCACGTAGTTCCACTTATGAATCGTAAGAGCTGGGTAATGCTAATAAGCTTTCTTTTCAGTTGCCTAATGTGTGGTGTCCATGTTAAACCTTTGTCTAGGATAAGACCAAGAAATCTGTGAGTTTGGACATATGATATAGGGTGAGCATCAATAGTGAGCTGATGCCTAAGCGTACTTTTTTGTGTAAAAGCTATAGCTGCGGACTTTGATGGGCATAGCGATAGTCCACGGCATTTTAAGTAATTTGAAATTATCTCAAGTGCTTTCTGTAAGCGAATCACATTAAATCGCTGCGTGATTGATGAGGTCCATATGCAGATATCATCCGCGTAGAGCGTTATTCTGACGTTTCGAGGAAGTTTGTTCACAAGTCCTATGAGGGTGATATTGAAAAGTGTGGGACTGAGAACACCACCCTGTGGCACGCCACGAGCAACAATATACTCAGCTGTTTTCCCTTCTGTCGTCACCATATGAACTGTTCTGTTTTCAAGATAGTCTAAAATCCACGCATACAGACGTCCTCCTATCCCGGCATAGCAGAGTGCGTTGCAGATAGCCTTGTGGCTTACAGAGTCAAAAGCGCCCTTAATATCGAGGAACACTGCAGTGGTGATTCTTCGGGATTTCTTTTGTTTTTCGATGCTCGTTGTGAGGTCAATGATATTATCAAGAGAGTTGCGTCCGCGTCGGAAACCTGCCATAACTTCGGGGTATATGTCATACTGCTCTAGGTACCATTCAAGTCGGGTATGTATCATCCTTTCCATGATTTTTCCGACACAAGAGGACAAAGCAACTGGACGGAACGATGAAAGGTCTAGGGGGGATTTACCTTGCTTAAGGATGGGTATAATGCGCGATGTTTTCCAATCCCGGGGCGCCTGGCCCGTTTCCCACGATGTGTTATATAGTTTGTGGGGATTCCTCTGGTCTCCCTTCCCCGATGGCTGTGATAACGGCCGCGGGTCGGAACGCTCGGCCTTCTTCGCCGTGAGCTCCGTCCTGTTCGTGAGGCAGAGGGCCGCCTGGCTTGGGGGGCTCTCCTTTCACTCTCTCCCGGGGGGCCTCTTTCCGTCCCCCCGCTCGGATGCGAATCACTGCCGACAGGCGAGGAGGTTTCGCCTCTTGTTTTCCCGCTTTCGGGAAAGGGACTCGTCCGGGTGACCGCGAAAGAGATAGGACGTGTGTCGGCGACTTCTCCGACGCTTTCCCGGTCTTGGCTCTCCGGAACCCCGCGTCTGGCCAGGTAAGGACCTTTTCTTACCTTGCCGGCGCGGGGGGCATTTTGGATGGCGACATAGTAGTCCATTTTAAGAGTGTTCCAATAAATGCTCTTGGACTCTGTCCTTACTCTGGTACGTGTGTCTTCTCTTCCGCTATATCCGAGAGAGTGAGACAAGGTAGACGATCATTGGCACCGACGGAGGTAATTAATCGAACCGACCCGCGGTAATGTAGCCCTAAACGTTCGTCTACATTGCCGCGGAGATGTGGGGACCGCGGGCTACTAGGTTTGACGTCTCCTTTGAGATATCGCCGCTGTTGAGACAATCCTTTGGTTACTCTATCGGTACCTTTGTTGGTAGCTAACAAAGATCCCACAAGTTTCAAGAGCCTCACTTTGCCTATTGTACCCAGGTGAAATAAGGCCGCGTAAGTTATGCCGTCGGAACCGGGAGAGGTTGAGAAACGTAGTCCAGAAAGGGCCTCGTCTAGTTCTCGTATATCGAACGGTGCGTCCATGTATGGACACGCTCGGAAGGGACTGTTGGATTTAACAAGTGGAATGGTCGCATTTCCGACGTTTTCCGTGAGCTTTTTACAGTACTCTTCAGCCACAGCTAGTTCCGAAAGATCTAGTCGGAGGGCTAGTGCACGTAAAGGTTGACGCTGTTGTGGAGTCGTCCTTAGACCACGAGCAAGACTGTATATTCTTGAAAGAGGCTTACGAGGATCTAATGTTGCGCAATGATCCCTCCAATGACGTTGGGCTAGTTTATCTAGATGTCGTTTTATGCGTTTTTGTTGGCGTCTTACTTTACGAATATCTTCAGGATCATGTGTTTTTCTTGCCTTTCTTTCGTATCTCCTGCGAAGCGCACGAAGACGTTCGTATTCCGCGTCAATCATAACAAACCTTCGGGGTAGTTTGTATGTCTTTGTGTGTTGTTTCACAAGTTCTCCGATACAATGGTAGAAATCACCTTCGGTGCTAAATGAATCACATGCTTTTTCAAGATTAACTTTGAAAAGGCACCAATCTGTCCGTCTGATTGTTGACGCTATGGTATTGGATGAAAACCCCTTAAGAAGAGTGTACGTAGGCATATGGTCACTGCTATGGCATTCAATATCTGTAAACCATGTGAGAGAATTCGAAAGGCTCGAGCATGCAAATGTCAAATCTAAACAGCTGCTTGTAGTGGCGCCCCGGAAAAAGGTTGGACTTCCGTCATTCAAAGTAAAAAGACCATGCTGATGCGTGAGTGTCACAAGTGAGGTACCTCGGGCGGTTGTTTTTGTACTTCCCCATAAGGGGTGATGGGCATTA